CAAAACACGCATCGATAACAATGAGATGGCGAATCACTATTCATGGAAACCATGCGAGGGAACGAACTGATTAGTATTCCAGCATATGGGATATTGTGTGCTCCCATCTGGGCCGCGTTTAACGAACGACTAACTAGGGACTGGGCTTACAATTGGAAGCAGCTGCTGCCTGCTGCCTGCTGCAACTGCTTTTGACTTGGTCTTGAGTCTTCAACTGGAAGCGAGGGGGGCCTCTCGGGTCATTTAATGGGGGAGCTTGTTACTCGAACTATGATTGAATGAATTCACTGAAAGCGGCCAGATGATTGCATATTATATGTAAACATCCCACAGATGTGTGGGGGGTTACTTATACAGTGAAAGGCCGTTTGAACGAACCCACTTTGGTACGCCCTTAGTCGGCGTGGGCTTAAATCTTTATGTAGACTTTTAAGGCGTACAAATAAAGTCTTTTCGCCTACACGCATGCCTTGTGTTTCATTTACTCCCTAATTAGTTCAGAAATAGAAGGAGCTTTGGGAGAAACCAGGGTTTCTGCAATGGTAATTCGTATATTCGTTGATGAGAGCTTTATATATAGCCGCCAAATGGATCCACCTCTATCTCGAGGCAACATATAACTTCTGAAACTTTAAAGCCATTATTTTCCTAGTCCGTTTAAAGGTGTTTCGGTCTCTTTGATTTTGGTCCAGAAAGGTGTTTTGGATTTATACATCTGCCATTTTTCCCTTTCAAATACTCTCCTTAAACAAATCCCTAAAACTTCCTTAGTTTTTGCCCGTCTCTAGACGGTTAATACCCTCCTTTTCATGCCCTGCCCTAGGCGGTCAATAAAAATGCATCCGCCAACAGTTAAGCTCTACTGTTTATAAGACTAAAACTCTCTCTGGTCTGCTCCACCACCATCGTCTAGACACAAGTTAATGTCATTTAGGGGTCGACGTCGTTCATCGTTCATCGTCTGCCAATAAATCGAATCATCAACCAAAAAAAGCGGAAAAATTGAACATCTTGCAGACTCCGTGGAGAGGAAATTAAAATATAAACTTCAACGGAGGTCCACGACAACGATTCTTGGCTCCTTCAATATACATATGATATATATATGCTTGAGGAGATGGAAAAATGACCCCAACATTTATTTTGGGGGTCCATCGACGTTGTCATACGTAAATTACGAGGAGGAGAGATGTTTCTCTGGTGCGATTTATGGCAATAGTCGGATGCGGTCTGCTCTCTCGATGCTGCTCCCATTGGCGGTGTGTCACCAAAGAGCATAAATTTTGATTATGCCCCAGATGGTGGGGCGGGCAGTACTTCCTTCAAAATCGAGGAGAAAACAGCAGCAGCAGCAGCAGCATCAGCTGATTGATGGGCCCCATGGAGGAGTCGTGGAGTAGGAGTGTAGGAGTGTGTGGTGTGTGTAGCTTACCGTAGTCATGCAACATTTCCATGCGGGTTTTATCCGTCGTCGTCTTGCCATAAACCCTGCTACGAGTATGGGCATCGGCATCGCCTGAACCATCACCACGGGCATTATTCATTTCCTAGCGATTTCCGTGCCGTCTGCCAATTAGCGAATCGTTTATCCTATAATGTTGTTTCTCTCGCACAAATTGCACCAAAATTTTCGATTTCTAACCAAAAACAAACTGAACGAAACGGAACACTTAGGAACAATCAACAAATTCACGAGAATATTACAAAAACAAAAAAGGAACAGAACGAAAAGAACGTTCGCGAAAAACTAATTTTTGTTTGCTTATTTCTCTATAATTTAGTTGTTTGCTTTTTTTGTCGATTTTTTTTGCATTTGACTTTTAGTGAAAAATGCCTGCCTGCTGCGTTTTCTTGATCATTTATGAATGACTGCAAATTGCTCGCTCCCCCACTGATTGAAAGCGACACGAAAGTGCCGCCACAGTTGTGTCACAGTGTCCCCCACAAGTCGGTCTACGGGCTGGGCTCTACGTACCTTCCACGTTATTCGAACGTCCGTGCAAACAAAAAATTTGTGAAGGTGTTGAGGGCGTTGCTGGGTTATTGTTGTTGCCATTGCCACCATTGTTCTGGGCCTGTAGCTGTCCCTGTTCCAGCAGGCGAAAGGATGGGGCCGTACCATAGTTATTCCGTCGGGTCTTTGCCGAACTGGGTCTGCAAAAAAAAAAACATCAAAAAAGAAGTGCAATGGCTAGGTTAGAGAGTAGGTTTTTTGGGTATTCGTGGTCCGAAGCGAAGCGAGTGAGCCGAGGGTTGACGCACGAGCGAATACAATCTATTATAAGCTCTTTCCGTTGGAGCATGGAACATGTTTAAGGAATGAACTCTTACTTGATCTCTTAATCTCGACACAACATCACGAGGGTTCCCCGTATAATTTAACAAAATTAATTTAAAAAAACTTATTTAAGTACAGAGCTTTGTGTTTTCCCTATACCACATCTGATATCTCAAAAAACCTTTTGTTTAAAACTGGAATTTTTTACATTTTATATCATTTTCAAGCCGAAGTTTCTATAGAAATGTACTGTTTCGGCAATAAACAAGTAAAAGACGATGCAGTAGCAGCCGCAGCGACAGGAAGGAAAACTTTTTTTGGTGCTGGGTAGAGTGGAGGGGTTCCCACTTCAACTTCAACTCCGAGAAAAAACCCCAAAAGAGAATTAAAACGTACTGGCTGCCTGGCAAGAACACTGCGGCATTTAAGCAGACACAATGTAAGCGTGCCCCTCGCCCCCTCGCCCCCCCCTTTGCCACCCACAACCACAGACCATCATCAGGCAGTTTCCACTGTAATGAGGCTGATGCTTCGGAAAAAGGGGTTTTTTTTGATAGGTGCTAAAATGAAAAGTGCAGCGAAAAATTCAATTTGAAGTTTTGTTACTTAACGAAAACTACGAGGACTACTTAAAGGCCACGCCCCTTTTTGCCATGCCAACTCCAGGAGCACGAGCTGGAGGAGGTGAGGCGCCTCCATCTTCATCAGAACCCCCTCCTACCCCCACCCTATCTGTATGTGTGATAAGTTTTCATCGTGTGCGAGAAAGTCGGGGTACAAGTGTGCGTAATTTTTACTACGAAAAGTGCAAATGGCGCTAAACTACTTGCTCTGCAACTTTCCCGAACGCAATTGCAAACGGTATGAGGGCCCCAGAAACAGAGAAAAAAACATGAGATGAAATGAAAGGCTGGCTAGCGATAAACGAAGTTTCAGATACCCTTAAAGGTCAATGGTTCCGAATGAGAAAATCAGAAGGTACTACGAAATGGGTGGAATTCTAGGGATTTTTCCATAGGGACTTTTCAAAAACTAAATACACCTCTGTATCTGTGTCATTCCAAACCCTACATTGAATCTAGCTATACATATCGAGGAGTTAAATTGCAGGTGAGATTAAAGGAAACGCAGAAGAGACTACGAAAAGGTTTCCCGGTCTATATATTTTAAATATATGTATATTGAATCTGTAGGGTGATGCTTAACAAATTTTCACATATTTTGTTCGCTTTAAAATATGACTCAGAAGTACTCTTGGATCAGAAGATCCTTTCTGGATCACCAATAAGTCCCAAAGGGGAACTTTTCGTAAACTTCTTGCCATCATATTTGTATTAATGGTCGAGAAGGACCTAAGAAATAAATTTATGAGCTATTGAATCTATCGAGAGAATGGAATATCCTTTTTCTCAAGAAAAAACACCAGAAGGCATTGATCAAGGTGGCACAACAATTTTTTAAATAATTTAATAATAAATTAATAGATTTCGTTATACCATTCAAGTATTTATTTATTACCCTTGCATATCGGATACCTATAGCCCATATTTGATAAACGAAAGATCAGTGAAAAGCTCCATTAAAAAGGACACAGACAGTCGGACTGGGTAGGACTTTCAAACATCTCAAAATCGCTACATATACCCTTTACCAGAAGGGTGTGAAAAAGGGAAACTAAAAGAAGAATTTCGAAAAGCAAAATACGTAGCGTACCCACTTCAATTTAAGCTTTTTCTATCCAACTTTTCGAGGCCTTTCAGAAGCGCACCTACCGCACACACACACACACACACAAAACACAGAGTGACAGAGAGAGAGAGAGAGAGAGAGAGCCGGCACAGTTGTCGCCGCTCCCACGCTGTCCGCTTTTACGGTTATTTAACAAATCAGCAGCTCATTTGGGGCTCTCGCTTTATGTTAATTTACCCAAAAGAGATTTTATATTTGCCAAACTTTTTATTCCTTTCTTTTCACATAAATTTATACCAAAAGTCAGACGGATAAGCCGCGTGCCCGTCCCCGGGCCCTAGCACTTACTTGGCAATGGGTGTATCCTCGTTTTTGGACATATTATTGCTTAACAATTAAACGCACGGCACAACACAAAAACAACGTGACAACAGGAACTTCGACGGAGAAATGTTTCTTATATGAAGGAATGCCAGAGATTCGATCCCCCCCGAGAGAAGCTGCGAGAGATAAGCGAGAGAAGGAAGACTGGGCCTAACAGAGAATGATAAGATCAAAGCAAACACCAGATAAATGACAGATAAAACTTACAACTTCTGCGGCTGATAGACGCGACAGCGAGAGCCGAGTGCAATGTGTAGGTGCGTGTGTGTGCGTGTGTGTGTGAATGGATTAATCTGGAAAAGAAAGACAAGAGCAATTGTGTATACTTTCTTATCAAGTGTGACTATAGCACACGGACTGCTTATTCTACGGTTTAATGATGGTAACGTGCGCTATAAGAACTTATTTTCACAATTTCACACACAGTTTTGTAGGCCGTCAGATAACACATGTTCAAAGCTTGGCGGTGCCCACAAGTTTGCCAGACAGCTAGAAAAGGTTATGTTTAGTATTTTCTGCTGGTATTTTTTGCAGGGGTAAGTTTTAGTACCTTTTCGGCACGCGCTGCCACCCTGGCGATGTTCAAAAAATCAATATGAAAGCCATAACGTGCAAAAATTCGCCCAAGTTTTAGCAACTCTCATTAGTTTAAGCATGTCGGGATGTAGTGCATACGAATTGATAGCCATTAACTCGCCAGGATTAGCGCTGCATTGACCAAAAGAGGGGAAAATCATGGCCCATTGAGTGGATGACAGTGAGACCGTGAGACGCGAGAAGACGTGAAGACCAACAAAGCAAAGCACAAGCCCCCCCAAACAACAGCAAGGAAGCAAGTGATGGCCTCTTCCTCTTCATCTGCGCGTGTGAACAACAAAGCTGCCACCGCCGCTCCTCCTTTTGCTGCTGCCGTCGCTGCTTCTTCTTCTACTGCTCCTCCTGCTGCTTCTTCTTCTTCTGCTCCAGTTCCGTCGCTGGGTGATTTAATTGGCCACCAGCTGCGACAACTCAATCGGGAGGAGCTCCACTATAAAGATGAACTGCAATTGCTTCTGCTTCTAACGCCAGTGCAACGGCAAAAACTCAATCGGGAGACGGACGGCGATGGACAGAAGGATTGCAATGGCGGCGACACTATGGCCGCCAGCACATCGGCGCCACTTTCCAGGCCGGAGTATGGCGGGGAAGAGGATGACGACCTGATTGGGGCGGTGGGCGGTCTCAGTATTTCATCCCCAACACCAGCAACAACAACAACAACAACGACGAAGGAGCCGCTGTTGGATTTTAGGTGAAACAAACGGTTGTTCGTGTCGGTGTGCGTGTGTGTGTGTGCCCCAGTGCATGCGCGTGTGTGGGTGTGCGTGTAAGAGCGAAAGTGTTTTTGTGCCCCCAGGGCTGCACAGCAATCAAATTATGCAAATTCCCCGCGCAACAATGTGAAATTAATTCCACATTCGTGGCCTTTCTAATCCGCCATCATAATGAATGGCTTCAGAAATGTGTTTTGTAATTGTCAGGTGTGTTTTGTAATGTTGTGGGTGGGGGGAGGTCAACTGTTCAGCCCTGGTTGTGTACTGAAGTGATTGCTTGCAGAGTATATAAATATAGGGTAAGTCTGTCCGTTAGGATAATTTGCTGGACAGCCTTATCTCTCATTCCCACTCCTTGTGAGCCGTAACGGACTGCGCTACCGCAAAGAAGGCCCTCTCTTGGACTGCAACCACCTTATATAAGGCCTACCTTGATTGCATGCATTCGTACGGTTAAGTAGCATTTTCGCTGTCGATTTTGGGAATTTGGGTCACTTCGTTTTGACATTTTCTGTGAATAATTAAGTGGCCTCCTTACACCCCAACCCACACCATCCCCATCCCCATCAGATATACAACCATGTAACGGCCTCCACCCCCTTTTTGGCATAATTACTCACAGAACACATGTACTCAAATGGTTTCAACATCTACGCCACCAAACGGGACACTTTAAGTCGGAGGAGGAGTCGCGACGTCTGCGCGAGGCCGGCAATGACTCATACCGCAAGGAGAAGCATCCGCTCAAGGCCAGCGATCTGTTCACAGAGGCCATCTTCCTGGCCCCGGCGAGGAATACTCTGGCCGCCGCCCTGGCCCATGCCAATCGCTCACTGGCTCTCTACGATTGCGGTCTGTATGCGGTGAGTGCGCTTTCTACTCCTTTCAAGATCTCTTTCAATAATTGTTATTGTCCTTTAGGAATCCTATGATGACTGCCTGTGCGCCCTGGATTTGGGCTATCCGGAGGAGTATTTGCCATTGATAAAGCTGCGGCAAGCCGCCTGTGCCTTAAAACTGCGCAACTTTGCGCTCTGCGAGGAGCATCTGCACGAGCTCCTGCACATCGAACTGAACCAGGTCTTCGAGACGCGCACCCACGAGCTCTGGCATCAGTGCGAGGTGCTCAAGGTGGAGCGTTTCGAGATGGCTGTGCAAACGGGCGATGATCTCGAAACCAACGACATGAAAGCCTTTGAAATGTGAGTGGAAATCATCCACAAGGGACCGGCATTAACAAACTGATCGTTTCAATTCCCAAAACAGTGCCTGGTTGGACAACTCCTCGTCGCTGCATAGCACCCGTGCCCTGGCCAGGAATGCCCTCATCTTCGAGTCCGAGGCGGTGGCCATGGTGCCGAGTGGCAATTGTCGGGTGTGCGACTACTGTGGCATCACTCAGTTCATTCCTTTTCCCTGCATTTACTGCTCCAACCGCCTGGTTGTCTACTGCTCGCGTCAGTGTCGCGTCAAGCACGCTGCCATTCATTCCGTGGAGTGTTTTGGCCATCAAATCGAACTGTTCGAGTCCTTCGGCGAAGTCTTTGGAATGCCGCGTCTTCTGCAGCTGGCCCTGCGAATGCTGATCACAGGACTGCCAGAGCTGCTGGCGCATTGCCGGAAGAAGCCGACACTCAGCAAGCTCTGGTCAGCCATCAACGGCGCCCTGCTGGAGAGACAGGACATTGGCTACAGCTCTATGCTGCGACTGGAGAAGCTTAAGGAGGAGCACACTTCGGATACGCTGATTGCCCTGGCACTGGCAGCGCACATTCTGGCCATTTACCTGAACAAATGCACGACCTTCTTTGAGCAGTTGGAGAAGAGCCTGCCCTCAGCCTCCCGCATGTCGAATGCCGAGTGGGAGCTGCTCTGTGCGGCTCTGCTGATGCGCCACATCAGTCAGCTTCGCCATCGATCACTCACACACTGCCGCTCCTTTGTGCTGCCCGCAGATCCGCATGTATTCTCGCCTCTCAACGAGTTCCAGCTGTGGGCAGCGCCCATGCGGTTGCAGGAGGGCCATCTGCATCTGCTGGCCGGCGAGGTGGCGGTCGTGGCCTATGCCGTCTATCCAGAGACACTGAGTCTCTGTCGCCACAGTTGTTCCTCTACCATCTGCAGCAAGTTCTCGGGCAGAAAGATGACTGCCTTGGCCCTGCTGGATCTGCCGGCGGGATCGGGTATCTATAATTGCTTTGCCAGCGGCAATTACCAGCAGCTGCGGCAGGGCGAACGCAGCAAACAGCTCAAGGAACACGGCATCAAGTGCCACTGCAACGCCTGCCAGCTTTCCTATACGGAAGATCAGTTCGTAAGTGGATGGGGGGGAGTATGCTCTACATTTACATTTCAATTGAATGCTTTTCGCTCTATTTGTAGGACAAGTTCCATCGCTACCGTTGTGATAATCCCAAGTGCATGGAGATCTTCACGCCTCATGCCCTGCCGCATGCCCCGAACCTTCGCTGGTGGCTGTCCGAGGAGTACACTCAACCGGAATACAACGGAGCCGAGCTGATTGTGTGTCCGCACTGTGGCGAGGCACAGAAACTGGAGTGGTTCTGGTCCTTCAATACGTCCCTCATCGACTGCGAGCTGATCGAAGAGCGCTGCAAGCTCTATGCCGCCATTGAGCGGGCCGAGTGCCACCTGATGGAGCTGCACGAATGCAAGGTGGCGCTGGCCCGGCTCCTCCTAGAGCAGTGCCTGATGGTGCATCGTGGTATGTCCGTGATAGAGAGAGGGAGAGCGACCGCTTCGATATTTAAAAAGTTTATCATTTACTTTGTTTTTATTCATTGCCAGCTCTTGCTTTCGCACTGTTTCCACTGTATTTGAGATGTCATTTGTTTCACATTCATCCAGATTCAGGATTCTCTCGTTTAACTGATTTTCAAAATCCAACTAATTTCCTTATTTTCGGTTTGTGCAAAACTACTATCACTATCTCTATCTCTGTGTGTGTTTGTCTTTCTATCTATCGTCTCGTCTAATTGCTCTCTGGTGTGAAGAGGGGGCCACCGTCCTGGATGACTGGGAGTTCAATAAACTGGGATCCATTATGCGCGCCGTGCTGCCCGGGGTGATGGCCCAATACGGCGGACAGTCGATCGAGTATGTGAAATACTTTGCTTACTTCTGGGATGTGATGGCATTGAGCAACTACAAGTGCAACGATCGGGAATTGATGCAGATGCTGAATGCCCTGGAGTTCATAGCCGATGAATTCAAGGATATATTCATCAACTACTACGAGGATTACATTGCGCCCAAATTTGCTGAAGAGTCCTATGGGAGTGTTGTAGATACACAGGTCTAGAAAGCGATCAAAAAACCAAAAACAACAAAAAAAGCAAACCAAAAACCATAACTTAACTTAGATCTATTTTATTCTGTAGAGCAAACCACAACAAAAAACACACACAAAACCAAACAAAAACAAAGCGAAACGAAACGAAATGAAATGAAAAACTTCTAGGAAAATTCTACTGTTGATTCAAACAATACAAATATTATATATACTTTGTGCTATTATTAAAAAAATGGTGCTGAGATATTAAATTGTACGAAACGAATGTTACATTCATTTAGGTGATTAAGTAAATGAAGACAAACAAATTGACGAAACGAATCAAAGGAAAAATCATATTTAGTAGAGAAATCATATCATGCACACCATTATGTTCATATCACACCAAACACCCTCTAGGACAAAACGATCAACTGATTTTTATAGCAAATGAGTTTTACATTTTGCATATGCGAGCAATATTTTGAAACAAACAAAAAAAAAAAAGAGCTAAAACTGCAAAGAAACACACACTCTCAACCCGCTGTACGCTCCCTAAATTTAGTTAAATTTTATTCGGAAATTAAATGAGATGTAATGGCTTATTCCCGGCGTACAGTGGGGTGGCGGTGGTGACGCACCCTTTATGAGATATATAAATCCAAGCAAAATCCAATTTAATTATAAGCAAATAATTTTAGCTTCTGAGAAGCTTCTACCTAAGCCTAGGCATTTCGAACCGAACCGAATCGAATCGATCTTGTTAGCCCTCAAACCAGGAACGATATATTATTGTTGCAGATGCAAATCCAGACACAGATACAGATACAGATCCCTCCCTCAATCACGTATATATTTGCTTGCCATTGGGCAGCCCGACTGTAAGCTTTTAATGCTTAAAAATCAGATAGGAATCAAACGCAATCACTGCAGAAACGAACAACAGAATAACTTAATCAATATTCAAATTGTATTAAACCTCGCCTTAATTTTTGAAAGTGTTTTGAAATACATACAATACAAAGAAAGTTGAAAATGATGATTATGAAGAAAAAGAAAATATACGAATATGAATCAATCGAATACAAAACGCACTGATAACGCGTAGGCCAGGCAGTCTTCACACAGATACACACACACAACACACACACAGACACATTCGGACACACATCCATACAGACACACACGCAATCGAATATGAATAATTAAACAAAACAAATTACAAAACAACAAGATACTCAAACAAACTTCTAGCAGCTATTAACAAATGCAATAAAAATTCTTTTTAACAACAAAAATTCAAGTCTTTTGTGTATTTCTTGGATGAAACATAGAGTGGAGCTATGAAATTGATCTGTGCTTAATTTTTGAAAAGTATTTTAATTTACAATGAAGAAATTGCATTGATTGTTTCACAATTTTCAAAGTTATTACAAATTTCTATTGAGAGTTCTATGATTTACAAATTCCTAGATATAGATATCTTATTATTCCTTAAAACTATTGTGAACTTTTCCAACTATTTCTCAAAATCAAAAGTAGAATTATGGTTTTAATTCTCTCTCTTACAGACAATCGATTGATCTGTGCCTATGCTTTGATATTTATTATTCCATAAATTCGATCATTTAGTGCCATGCAAAATTATAAAGAATTCCATACAATTTTGATTATTTCAGACCTTTACTATAGAAATTTATCCCTAATCCAATCGACAAGAGCCTTAAACAATTATGCTTTTCCAGAATACAAAGTATTTATTGTTTCATTTATCAACACCTATATTTTAACAATTTTTCTTTTTAATTTATGTGAAATTACAATGTTTCTCTCAAAAATAACACTTCTAGATATCAGATATTGACAGAAACGAAAAGTTTATATTTTTTATAGATAGGTACATATATAATTAACAGAGCGGAATTGACCCAGCCAATAGGCAGAAGATTAATAATAATTTATTTTCGCTGGTGTATATGAAATTCATTCAAAAATCTTAGATCAATACATTTTCTTAAACACTAAGCAATTAAAATCATTCTTTTGGATTCATTCCAGTATAATTTTTCCACTCAAATTCTCCTGCTACTTTTTGGTAAAGAAACTCATGATGTTTCCTTGCTTTTGTTTGGCTGCCTCCTTGCTGACTTTGGTCGACGCAGGAGGGGATTTCTTCTTGGCCGCTGGAGCCGAATCTGACGGCGAACCATTCTTTTTGGTAGCTGGCGGTGAAGCCTTCTTTTTGACAGCCTTTGATTGCTTTGTGGGCTTCCGCTGGGTAATGACAAAGCCCTCGTCATCCAGAAAGGTTTCATTGGAGGGTTCCGTCTCCATTTCATCATCCAACGTGACGACTTCTTCTTCGGCGTTCTTCTTGGAGGGCTGCTGTTCGTCGTCGTCGGAATCGCTGATGCGACGACGCTTGCTCGTGGAGGGCTTCTCCTGGTCGGACTCGTTGTCGGAGGCCATTACTTTGCGTCGAATCTTGTCCAGTTTCTCCTCCTCGTCGGAGGATTCGGCGCTCTCTTCGGCAAACAGTTGAATGGACGTGTTGGCTGTGGGTTCCTTCTTCGCCTGAATCGGAGGTGATTTCTTGACCTCACTTTCAGGGGATTTCTTGACCGCAGTGGGAGCTGCTGCTCCTGCTGGTTGCTTCTTGAAGAAATTGTCCATTGTGTTGGCTTTGCTTGGCGTGGCCTTTACTTCTTTGGGTTTGCTGCCGGCCGCAGGAGCTGCTGCTGCTGAAAAGAAGCTATTGATGCTGCCCTTCTTTGCAGGTTTGCCCTTTGCTGTCTGCTCCTTGGGGGATGTCTTCTTTATTTCGGTTTCAGAGTTTTCCTTGCTGGTGGCAGGCTTTACAGACTCTGATTTCACTCCATTTGTAGCAGCAGCACCCTTGGAGCCGCCATTCAAAGCAGGAGCTGCCTTTTGGACACCATTGGTAGATGGCCCTGCGTTCTGCGCACCATTTGTGGGCCTATCCACAGCTATTCTGGTGCCAGAGCGCCTCTTCACGCCGGCCAGCTTCACCTCCAGGTGCTGCATGGGACGGAACACAGTCGCCGGCGACTTGGAGCCCCCTGCAATCTCCACGCTGTAAAGCTGCCACTGCGCATCCCGCAGCTTGTTGCGCCAGTCCTCCAGCTTGCTCTCTTGCACAATGGTGTAGAACTCATCATTTGTGCCATTTGTCAGCCCCGTGCCATGGACCAGGAATCGCTTCTCGAATTTCGTTGCCGGCTCCTGCTCTTTGATATACGCCTCCAAAGTGTCGTTCACCTCCTTGTAGGATAGTTTGTATTCCTCCAGCAGGTCGGTGATCATCACGCGACAATCGAAATCAATAAGACAATCGTCCAGAGCCTTTTTTAAACCCATTGTTGTTTATAGCGTGGAAATGTGGAAGGCCTAAGCGAAGTTTGAAATTGCCAAGTCAAAGAATTGTATATTATACTTTATATATACGTACTTATTAGAGTTTTACCTCAATTATGGTGGATAGTTAACTTAACTTTTAATCTAGTATAATTTGATGAAACTATTTTTTTTGGGCGATTGCTTTGATTGTTTCGATTAGCCCACTTAAGCCCCCTCTATTTAAATAGTTCAACTACATGAGGTAAATGGCAGAAAATATTAACGACTGAAAATTCTTCTTGTAAATCCATGCCATCTTTCATCTGATCTTAAGAAAAACCACGATATCTTTCACGTGAACTGCGCTAAAATGATTCAATTTTCATTATTTTAAGTGGAATATTAAAATACCTCCTTGGTCTGCAATGGGTTAATCGTTCTCCGTCAAGGCTTGGAAACCATATTGCTAAATTTCGATGTTCCGTCGAATATTTCTAGCTAGATAGAACCCTCAACCATGCCCACATAATTTTATCCGATTAATGAATCAATTTTCTACTTTATTGGCTTATTTTAAATACTTGCTTTTATTGGATTTATTGGAATTCCAGTTTTTCAGAGTTTTCAAAGTCAGAATTACGAAAAATTATACAGCGAAATGCGGCATTCGACGGTTTAGTCAGATGCCAGCAACCTCGCAGGAGTTGCCTCAGGGGAATATATTGGTGGACTTTCACTTTCCATAACCAAGTAGAATGCATTTCAGTGTTTCCATCGGGCTTGACTTCTTATTTATTTGTTATTTGGGTTATTTGTTTGTTTGGGTTTCAATTCCTTGTCAGGCACTGCAAACTATCGATACTTCACATTTACCAAGCGATATTTGAAATGAAAAAATAGGGGGCGACTGTAATATAAAGCAGATGTCTCTAGTCAAAGAAATAGCAGTTAGTTCGTTTAAACGACAATAGATGGAGCAGACTGTCGGTTTCTGTGGTCAATATCCAGCTTTATTAGATATTGTCCGAGCTATGATTGCTTTGCCTGCTTAATACCTTTACTCACTCGAAAGAATACAGAACATGCATAGAACTGAATACATATCTATTTAGAAAAGAGTCAGAGTTAGATGTAAAGAATACAAGTACAGGAATACGTTGCAGTTGAATATACATATATTGAATATCTTAACCAGCCACAGGTCTTCCAGTATATTCCCTTACCGGCCATGCTGTTTACCTAACCATTCACATACAAGCCGAAAAGGTTACTGAAATTATGAGATTAGCAACAGTCATTAGCATAAAGTAAGTACAGACCCACCTATCCGTACAATCTTTGTGCCACCAGGCCCCCCTGTCGTAAGTGGTAAATATCTGATCCCTGCTTGAGTACAGCGAATCACCTGCATCTCCAGTGAAGGGTGCCTTCATTTCTTCATCCGAATCCGTTTTTGTACTCCAGCCAGTCGCGGAAGAAGAGCTGCTCCTTGTTGGTGCGACAGGCGATCACAATCCGACCAGGACCCTCAATCTCTGTATCGCAGAACACTTGAAAGGGTCTTAGTCGTTTTCGTTTTGTGATAAGGCTTCCCATTTCTGTACACATCAATTCTCGTTATTTCGTAATATTTGAAGACTTTATTCAGTCCTCTGTTCCGAACAGACTTTGAGCTCCGACTGACTATTCCTAGGTATATGTAGCCTATATATTCCTATATGTATTTTCGTTTTTAGTACAAAAATATGTAGAAATTATATCTCGTTAGTTCCTCTTCCATTTAGACTATTTATGCCACAATTCTACTCGAAGTTCAATTGATAAATGTGTAAATCGTATTGTACAACTTTATAAATCTTAAATTATAATAAATACAATATGTCTAAGGGCTAAGGTTATTTCGGTTACCCTTTAGATTTCACAAGCGACCAAGCCACATCAATCTTATCTATGAAGAAAGTTATGCAATATCTGTGGCTAATCCGTGACAAATCGCGAAGGTAATAGAAAAAACCTCGGACCAAAACCTTTTTGGCTCCACTTATGTCAAT